AAAGTGTACACCATAGTGTACATGTTGCAAGGTTCCTATCGGTTGAACTTTGCTATTTGTACACTGATTTTTGACACGTTGTTTAACACTTTTATTGTTGTTAGGTGTTAATTGGATGCAAAAATAGTTTGAAATTTAAACTGTCAAATAGGGTGATGTCACGTGGCAAAGCATAAACAAAAGTGTGCACCATCCTATACGTGTAGCAAGGTTCTTACCGATTGAACTTTGCTATTTGTACACTGATTTTTTACATGTCGTTTGAAACTTGCATTGTTGTCAAGTGTCAATTGGATAGGAAAATTGTTTGAAATTTAAACTGTCCAACAGGGTAATGTCACGTGGCAAAGTGTAAACTAAAGTGTGCACCATAGTGTACATGTGGCATGGTCCATACCGATTGAACTTTGCTATTTGTACACTAATTTTCGACACGATGTTTGACACTTGCGCTTTTGTCAAGTTTCAATTCCATGGGAAAACTATTAGAAATTTAAACTGTCTAACAGGGTAATGTCACGTGGCAAATTGTAAACTAAAGTGCACACCATAGTGTATATGTCTAAAGGCTCTTACCGATTGAACTTTGCTAATTGTATACTGATTTTTGACACGTTATTTGACACTTGCATTGTTGCCAAGTGTTAATTAGATGGGATAATTATTAGAAATATAAATTGTCTAACAAGGTAATTTCACTTGGCAAGGTGTGAACTGAAGTGTACACAATAGTGTACATGTAGCAAGGTTCTTACTGATTAAACTTTGTTATTTGCCCACTAATTTTTGACACGTTGTTTGACAGTTGCATTGTTGACAAGTGTCAATTGGATGGGAAAACTGTTTGAAATTTAAACTGTCCAACAGGGTAATGTCACATAGCAAGGTGTGAACTGAAGTGTAACTATAGTATACATGTTGCAAGGTTCTTACCGATTGAACTTTGTTAGTTGTACACTGATTTTGGACACGTTGTTTGACACTTGCATTGTTGTCAAAGGTCAATTGGATGGGAAAATTGTTTGAAATTAAAATTGTCCAACAGGGTAATGTCACGTGGAAAAAGGGTAAACTAAAGTGTACACCATAGTGTACATGTAGCAAGGTCCTTACCGATTGAACGCTGCTATTTGTATACTAATTTTTGACACGTTGTTTGACCCTTGCATTTTTGTCAAGTGTCAATTGGATGGGAAAACTGTTTGAAATTTAACCCCTCTAACAGGGATACGTCACGTGGCAAAATGTAAACTAAAGTGTACACCATAGTGTACAAGAAACAAAGTTCTTACTGATTGAACTTTGCTATTTGTACATCGTTGTCAAACAGGGTAATGTCACGTGGCAAGGTGTGAACTGCAGTGTACACTATAGTGTACATGTAGCCAGGTTCTTGCTGATTGAACTTTGTTATTTGTACACTAATTTTTGACACGTTGTTAGACACTTGCATTGTTGTCAAATGTTAATTGGATGGGAAAACTGTTTGAAATTTAAACTTTCCAACGGGGAAATGTCACGTGGTAAAATGTAAGCTAAAGTGTGTGCACCATAGTGTACATCTAGCAAGGTTCTCACAGATTGAAGTTTACTATTTGTACACTGATTTTTGACACGTTGTTTGACACTTGCATTGTTGTCAAGTGTCTATTGGATGGGAAAACAGTTTGAAATTTAAACTGTCCAATGGGGTAATGTCAAGTGGCAAAGTGTAAGCTAAAGTGTACTCCATAGTGTACATATAGCAAGGTTCTTAAAGATTGAACATTGCTATTTTCACACTGATTATTGACAGGTTGTTTGACACTTGCATTGTTGTCAAGTGTCAATTGGATGGGAAGACTATTTGAAATTTAAACTATCCAACAGGATAATGTCACGTGGTAAAATGTAAACTAAAGTGTACACCATAGTGTACATGTGGCATGGTCCATACCTATTGAACTTTACTATTTGTGCACTGATTTTCGACACGATGTTTGACCATTGCATTTCTTACCAATTTAACTTTGCTATTTGTACACTAATTTATGACACATTGTTTGACACTTGCATTGTTGTCAAGTGTCAACTGGATGGGAAAATTGTTTGAAATTTAAACTTTCCAACGGGGCAATGTCACGTGGCAAAGTGCAAACTAAAGTGTATACCATAGTGTACATGTGGCAAGGATCTTATCGATTGAACTTTGCTATTTGTACACTAGTTTTGACACGTTGTTTAGCACTTGCATTGTTGTCAAATGTCAATTGGATGGGAAAACTGTTTGAAATTTAAACTGTCCAACAGGGTAATGTTAGGTGGTAAAGTGTAAACTAAAGTGTACACCACAGTGTACATGTAGCATGATCCTTACCGATTGTAGCTTTGATATATGTATATTGATTTTTGACACATTGTTTAACACTTGCATTGTTGTCAAGTGTCGATTAGATTGGAAAACTTTTGAAATTTAAACTATCCGATAGGGATATGTCATATGGGAAAGTGTAAACGAAAGCGTACAGCAGAGTGTACATGAAACAAGGTTCTTATCGATTGAACTTTGCTATTTGTACACTGATTTTGGACACATTGTTTGACACATGCATTGTGGTCAAGTGTTAATTGGATGGGAAACTGTTTTAAATTTAAACTCTCCAATAGGGTAATGTCACGCGGCAAACTGTAAACTAATGTGTACACCATAGTTTACATGTTGCAAGGTTCTTACCGATTGAACTGTACTATATGTACACTGATTTTTGACACATTGTTTAACACTTACATTGTTGTTATGTAGAATCCCAAATAATTTTAAACACCTTAGTCGCACTAAGACATGAATATTGGATAGCTAAAGTATACTTAAGATTTTTAGTCTCATTTGAGACCTATTTATGACATAGAAAAAATTCGATTTGGAAAATTGTATCTTAATAAAAGTTGTAGCTCTTTAAGTTAGATTTCCAAGGCACTTTGAATTACCTCAATCGGATATCGGGAGAAGAAGTTATGATAGAAATACTAAAGGCTGTACAGTATTAACCAAAGTACGCGGAATATGAAAAGTCAAATTTCTACATGATTCTCTAGCACCTTCTTAAACCTATAACTCCCACATAAATGGCACCCATATTAATGAGTATTAGGCCCTTCACTTGCCCTTAAGTTTTGAGATTTTCACCTATAAATAAGCCCCAATACATACACATTTTTCACACCAAGACAAAAGCTTCTAAGCATAAACCTCCATGTCTAATGGTACCTCCGGGTACGGCATACACCTCCATGTCTAATGGTACCTCCGGGTATGGCATGAACTTCCGATCGAGGCATTGGGTTAAGTCATGACTCTACATGTTTGGGATTCTATCGAAAATCCTACTATGAAAATGTTTCTAAAGTTACAGCTTTGAAATGTATAGCTTGATCACGAATGTACCAATGATATCTATTGAGTTTTTTTTTTTTAACTTACGGGTTTAACCCCTTCTCTATAGATTGATATAATTCTACCTTGGGCCTGGATGATGGAAAAGATGGAGAGTGGTGCAATGAGCCCATGGAAAATCCAGTGAACAAGTTATTTAGATTTATTTTTGTGAATGTTTTCAATGTTATTCCTTTAAAGTATTTGAAGAATGCTGAACACGAGAACAAGTAGTGTTTTCTTCAAATAAATTACGTTCCGTTATTTTTTTATTCAGTGTTTTATTTAAAGTATTCAAAAGGTTGTTAAAATTATCATTGTAAAATTAAGCTTTCGCTAAAACATATTCTCCTATAACTAAACCACCGGTTAGTTAAGTAAAGTAAGTAGCGTTCTGATCCACAAGGGGTCGGGGCGTTACATTGTTTAACACTTGCATTGTTGTCAAGTGTTGATTGGATGGGAAAACTTTTTGAAATTTAAACTGTTCGACAGAGATATGTCACGTGGCAAAGTGTAAACTAAAGCCTACAACATAGTTTACATGAAACAAGGTTCTTACCGATTGAACTTTGCTGTTTGTACACTGATTTTTGATACGTTGCTTGGCATATGCATTGTGGTCAAGTGTCAATTGGATGGGAAACTGTTTGAAATTTAAACTGTTTGATAGAGATATGTCACGTGGCAAAGTGTAAACTAAAGTGTACAGCATAGTGTACAAGTCACAAGGTTCTTACCGATTGAACTTTGCTATTTGTACACTGATTTTTGACATGTTGTGTGACACTTACATTGTTGTCAAGTGTCAATTGGATGGGAAATCTATTTGAAATTTAAAGTGTCCAACAGGGTAATGTCACGTGGAAAAATGTAAACTAAAATGTACACCATAGTGTACATGTCGCAAGGTTCTTACCTGATGCAAACCCCGTAACAATGGAAACTACGAAACCCACAACTAGATTGATGTGGAACCCAAGAACGCCAATACTAAACCGGTTTTGGATCTTGAACCCCAATAATCGAACCACAAAACCCCAGATTAGTGAAGAATCTGAAACCCCTTGATTACAATCAATGAAATCCACAATCCGACGTCAAGAACGCCACAAGAAATCGATTCTTGATAAGTTCTAAGTTTGTCCAATGAAGAACAATCGATTGAAAGAAAGTTTCTCTCTGTATTAATTTCAGCCAAAAAGTTTTCTTTCATAATGAGAAGAGTTTCCTATTTATACTATGGCATAAAAAACGTCCAAATTAATCAAAATATAGTAATATTTTGATTTCACAAGAGTTCTACCAACATTAGAAGATTCGGCAAAAATAAAAAAAAAACGAATTTTTTCCCACTTTTTGATCTATGCGGCTGCATAGATCATTTCTATGCGGTCGCATAGATCACTCCAGCCAGCCACATGTAGTTTCGGTGGCCTTCTATGCGGCCGCATAGGCCGTTGAGCCTGCGGTCGCATGGACCAACTCCGTGCCGCCTTCGTCCGCTTTTATCTCGTTGATCCAAGTTCCTTCGGCCTTCGACCCCCAACAAGAAACTTGTTCCATTTGACCTCCCGAACATTGTTTCATCGATCGTTTGCTTGACAAGCAATCCCATCGCTTCTTTCACTCGCTTCGTCCTCGATCGCGTCATCGGTCTGCCTTCAACTATCAATGGATCCTTTTCGTAACTCGTCGCTTGACTCGCTTCGGTTGTAGACGTGCCTTGATTCATATCATCCCCTCCCTCTTCGAAAGGATTCGTCCTCGAACCTGAACCTACATCGAAAAGAGATAGATCAGCAACATTAAAAGTAGCTGAAACATTATACTCACCTAGTAAGTCCACTTTGTAGGCATTGTCGTTGATCCGCTCGATGACTTGAAACGGTCCATCGCCTCTTGGTTGCAACTTCGACTTCCTCTGTTCTGGAAAACGCTCCTTTCTAAAATGCACCCAGACCCAATCTCCAGGTTCAAATGTAACGCGTCTCCTTCCTTTATTTGCTTTTGATGCAACCAGCTTTCCTTTCTCTTCGATCTGCATCCTGACCCTTTCATGGAGTGCTTTCACCATCTCTGCCTTGCGATTCCCATCCAAGCTACCTCGTTCATGCACAGGTAAAGGTATTAAATCCATAGGTGTTAGTGGATAAAAACCATAAACAATCTCAAAAGGAGAAAATGAAGTAGAATAATGTATGGCTCGATTATATGCAAACTCTATGAATGGTAAACACTCTTCCCATGATTTCAAATTTCTATTGATCACTGTCCGAAGCAATTGTGTCATAGTTCGATTTACCACCTCAGTTTGACCATCTGTTTGTGGGTGACAAGTTGTAGAAAACAATAACTTAGTTCCTAACTTACTCCACAAAACACGCCAAAAATGACTCAAAATTTTCACATCTCTATCTGACACTATACTGTTAGGCACTCCGTGTAAACGTACTATTTCCTTAAAGAACAAGTCCGCAATATTAGTAGCATCGTCAGTTTTATGACATGGTATAAAGTGTGCCATCTTACTAAACCTATCGACCACTACAAATATTGAATCCCTACCCCTCTTTGTCCTAGGCAAACCTAACACAAAATCCATAGATATGTCTACCCATGGTTCACTAGGCACAGGCAAAGGAGTATACAATCCATGAGGTTGAACCTTAGACTTAGCCTTTTTACAAGTTATGCACTTTCCACATATTTGCTCTACGTCATGTCGCATTCTAGGCCAATAAAAATGTTCTCCTAACATGTCTAAGGTCTTTTGAACCCCAAAGTGTTCCATTAAACCACCCCCATGTGCTTCCCTTACCAATAATTCACGCAAAGAACAATTAGGAATGCACAACTTATTTTCCTTAAACAGATATCCTTCATGCCTATAGAATTTATCAAATGCACATTTGTCACATGAAGCATATATATCAGAAAAATCACTATCAGTTTCATACATGCTTTTAATATGCTCAAAACCAAGTAATCTAGTACTTAATGAATTTAAAAGCACGTACCTTCGAGACAATGCATCAGCAACTATGTTTTCATTACCTTGTTTGTACTTGATGACATATGGAAAAGTCTCAATAAACTCCATCCATCTCGCATGTCTTTTGTTCAACTTACCTTGACCTCTCAAATGCTTCAAAGATTCATGATCGGTGTGTATCACGAATTCCTTTGGCCATAAGTAGTGCTGCCAAGTCTCCAAAGCTCGAACAAGTGAATACAACACTTTGTGATATGTCAGATAGTTCAATGCTGCTCCACTCAACTTTTCACTAAAGTAAGCAATAGGCCTCCTTTCCTGCATTAATACTGCTCCTATACCTATCCCTGATGCATCACACTCAACCTCGAATGTTTTATCAAAATTAGGTAATGCTAAAACAGGTGCTTTACATAACTTATCCTTAATCATGTTAAATGCAACTTCCTATGATTCTCCCTAATGGAAACCTACACTCTTCTTTACTATTTCAGTCAACAGTGTGGTGATGGTGCTAAAATCTCTTACAAATCTCCTATAAAAACTAGCCAATCCATGAAAACTTCTAACTTCAGTTATAGTCTTAGGTGTTGGCCATTCTTGTATAACTTTTATCTTTTCTTCATCAACTTCTACCCCATTAGCACTAACCACAAATCCTAGGAAAACAACTCTATCCATGCAAAATGTACACTTTTTAAAATTGGCATATAGTTGTTCCTTTCGTAATACAACAAGCACACAATTTAAATGCTCTAAATGCTCATCTAGGGTTTTGCTATAGATTAAGATGTCACGTAAAACATGGTTCATTAAATGCATAAAAGTGCTCGATGCATTAGTGAGTCCAAATGGCATAACTAACCATTCATACAACCCATACTTAGTTTTAAATGCCGTTTTCCATTCATCACCCTCCCGCATGCGAATTTGATGATACCCACTCTTAAGATCAATTTTACTAAAAATGCAAGCCCCATACAACTCATCAAGCATATCATCTAACCTAGGTATTGGGTGAGGATACTTTACCGTGATATTGTTGATAGCTCGGCAATCCACGCACATTCTCCAAGTCCCGTCCTTCTTAGGTACCAACAAAACAGGTACAACACATGGACTCATGCTCTCCCTGACATAACCTTTGCTCATCAACTCCTCCACTTGCTTCTGAAGCTCCTTCGTCTCCTCGGAATTGCTTCGGTAAGCTGGTCGATTAGGTATGACAGCTCCGGGTACAACGTTAATCTGGTGCTCGATGCCTCTGATTGGTGGCAATCCACTTGGCATCTCCTCAGGAAACATATCGTCGAACTCCTGCAATAAAGATTTAACCAAACTAGGGAGGGATGTGTTAGAATCCTCAAGATTGAGGAGGGACTCCTTGTACACTAACAATATCATTTGTCTACTTTCACTCATAGCCTTTTTCAACTCACTCTCCTTTGCATAGAAGTTGACCTTTGGCTTTTCTCTCAGCTCAGCTGACTCCTTTTCTTTCCCCTCATGTGGCTCCTCTCTCTTTTCTCCACTCTTAGCCACCTCACTATTTTCTCTCTTATCGATGGTTTCACTATTGCCTCTCCTTTTTCCAGACTCTCTTATTCTCTCATCTTCCTCACTTTTCAGCTTGAGTTGTTCTCCATAAACTTGTGCAGGTGTTAATGGAGCAAGAGTAATAGTCTTCCCATCCTTGACAAAGCTATATCGATTCCTATACCCATCATGTGTGACCCTTCTATCATATTGCCATGGTCTTCCTAACAATATATGTCCCACATGCATAGGCACCACATCACAAACTACTTTGTCACTATAACTTCCAATCGAAAAATTAATTAGGACCCTTCGATTCACCTTAACTTTCCCACTATCATTCAACCATTGTAACTTATAAGGCCTAGGGTGTCTTAACAATGCTAGTCCTAGTTTCTCAACTATAGTTGTGCTAGCTATATTCGTGTAACTCCCACCATCAATTACCATGCTACATACCTTATCGTTGGCGTAACAACGTGTATGGAAGATATTTTCTCGCTGCTGCTCCGAATCATCCACTTTGACTTGAGTGTTAAGAGCTCTCCGTGACACCAATGATTCTCCAACAGCAAACTCCAATTTTTCTTCCTTTTCAACGTCCTCCAATGCAGGCATGTCATCATACTCACCTTCACTTTCACTCACCACTTCTCCATTATCCAACAACACCATTACCCATTTATTTGGGCATTGAGAAGCGATGTGCCCGGACCCCAAACATCTGAAACACTTGATGTCTCGGTTTCTTGATGGTTGTGAATCAGTTTTGGGTGCTATTTTCCTAGCACTTTCCTCTTTTCCTTTTTTCCATTCATTCCTACCCTTAGGTATAGCTTTATCAACCTTATTGTTGTTGTTGTTGTTGTTGTTGTTCCATCTCGGTTTCCAAGATGGATTTGCACTCGAAGTTCCTATCGGTTGCCTAGCTATCCCTTTCCTCTTCAACTGTCTCTCCACCTTCATAGCCACATGCAACATGTCTTCCAACTCCACATAATGTTGCAACTCTACTACATTGGCAATTTCCCTATTCAAACCATTCAAAAATCGAGCCATGGTAGCCTCTCGATCCTCCACCACATTAGCCCTAATCATGAGTATTTCCATCTCCTTATGGTAATCTTCTACACTTTTCGACCCTTGATATAGGCCTTGCAGTTTTTGATGGATATCTCGATAATGGTGGCTAGGAACAAACCTCTTTCTCATCAATGACTTCAATTCTTCCCAAGTGCTAACTGGTCTTCCCCCACTCCTACGTTGTGAAGTAACCACTTGGTCCCACCATGAAATGGCATAGTCACTGAACTCTAAAATCGCTAACTTCACCTTCTTCTCCTCCGAATAATTATAACATTCGAAGATCATCTCAACCTTTCTCTCCCACTCCAGATATGCTTCGGGATCACTCCTTCCTTTGAATGAAGGAATGGTCATCTTTATATTTCCTAGATTTCCATCCAACTCCTCCCCGCGATCATTCTGACCCCGTCTGTCGAACCTATCACCTCTATTCCTCATCCTTCTCATCTCAACACCGTGAAATTCATCTTCGTCTAGTTCACTCCCATATCCATACTCTTCTCGCCTTTCCCTCCTAGGCTCCCATCTATCCGGTCCTCTGGCATTGGACACATCCACTCGATGCCCCCGACTAAGATTGGCCACCGATGTATCTAACCTATTCATCCAAGCCTCTTGCTTCTCCAACCGTTCTCTCATATCTCCAAACGCCCTTTGAAACATTTGCACCAAATCCTCCGATGCGTTGTTATTGTTGCCTTGTCTGCTTGAGTTTGATTCTGCCCTTTCTAACATCCTAACACTAAAATTTTATTTAACTGCCTCACCAAAGTCACTCGGAAACACACAATGGCTTTTACCCTCTATTGAGCTCACCTCTCTGCCTTTTACCACTCAGTTCTTTCAACAATTGCTTCTAAGGACAATCAACGAACTCAATCAATCAATCAATTTTGTAGAATTCTCAAACCGGATGTGATTCAAAGAATTGTAACAAAAGGACTCAAGGAAACTTCTAAAACTTTGACTTTGAATTGAAGGAATGGAATGAATCAATGTGTCCAGGCAACTGAGAAACGATATTGAATAAAAAAAAATTGTTGGTATTTGACGGATCAATAATATGTAACAATTTTTTTTATAACTGTACGGATGAACAGTACCGTATGGATGAACAGCAACTTTTTTTTTTATGATCCGGAATTCAATAACAAAACCAACGGAGAAAACGAAAACGAATTTGAGCGAAAATTGACCCCGGGAAACAGAATATGAAGATTCTTTTTGACACTTTTTGGATCAAAGAATCAAGAAAACCTTCTGGACACAAGAACACAAGGAATTGAAAGGAATTAAAAAATAAAGATATAACCTGATTAAATTGGAGCCAAAGCTCTGATACCAACTGATGCGAACCCCGTAGCAATGGAAACTACGAAACAGACAACTAGATTGATGCGAAACCCAAGAACGCCAATAATAATTCGGTTTTGGATCTTGAACCCCAATAATCGAACCACGAAACCCCAGATTAGCGAAGAATCTGAAACCCCTTGATTACAATCAACGAAACCCACAATCCGACGTCAAGAACGCCACAAAAAATCGATTCTTGATAAGTTCTAAGTTTGTCCAATGAAGAACAATCGATTGAAAGAAAATTTCTCTCTCTGTATTAATTTCAGCCAAAAAGTTTTCTTTCATAATGAGAAGAGTTTCCTATTTATACTATGGCATAAAAAACGTCCAAATTAATCAAAATATGGTAATATTTTGATTTCACAAGAGTTCTACCAACATTAGAAGATTCGGCAAAAATTTTAAAAAAAAGAATTTTTCCCACTTTTTGATCTATGCGGCCGCATAGATCATTTCTATGCGGTCGCATAGATCACTCCAGCCAGCCACATGTAGTTTCGGTGGCCTTCTATACGGCCGCATAGGCCGTTGAGCCTGCGGTCGCATAGACCAACTCCGTGCCGCCTTCGTCCGCTTTTATCTCGTTGATCCAAGTTCCTTCGGCCTTCGACCCCAACAAGAACTTGTTCCATTTGACCTCCGGAACATTGTTTCATCGATCGTTTGCTTGACAAGCAATCCCATCGCTTCTTTCACTCGCTTCGTCCTCGATCACGTCATTGGTCCGCCTTCGACTATCAATGGATCCTTTTAGTAACTCGTCGCTTGACTCGCTTCGGTTGTGGACGTGCCTTGATTCATATCATTACCGATTGAACTTTGCTATTAGTATACTAATTTTTGACACGTTGCTTGACACCTGTATTGTTGTCAAGTGTCAGTTGGGTAGGAAAACATTTTGAAATTTAAACTGCCCAACGGGGTAATATCATGTGGAAAAGTGTGAACTAAAGCATACCCGATAGTGTACAAGTAGCAATGTTCTTAACGAATGAACATTGCTATTTGTACACTGATTTTTGACAGGTTGTTTGACACTTGCATTGTTGACAAGTGTCAATTGGATGGAAAAACTGTTCGAAATTTAAACTGTCCAACAGAATAATGTCATGTGGCAAAGTGTAAACTAAAGTGTACATGTGGCATGGTCAGTACCGATTGAACTTTCCTATTTGTACACTGATTTTCGACACGATGTTTGACACTTGCTTTGTTGTGAAGTTTCAATTCCACGGGAAAAATATTTGAAATTTAAACTGTTCAACAGCGTAATGTCATGTGACAAAGTGTACACCATAGTGTACATGTCTAAAGGTTCTTACTGATTGAACTTTGCATTTGTACACTGATTTTTGACACGATGTTTGACACTTGCATTGTTACTAAGTGTCAATTGGATGGAAAAATTGTTAGAATTTTAAACTGTCCAATAGGGTAATGTGACGTGGCAAGGTGTGAATTGAAGTGTACACTATAGTGTACATGTAGCAAGGTTCTTACCGATTGAACTTTGTTATTTGAACACTGATTTTTTACATGTTGTTTGACACTTGCATTGTTTTCAAGTGCCAATTGGATGGGAAAACTGTTTGAAATTTAAACTCTCCAACAAGGTAATGTCACGTGGCAAGGTGTGAACTGAAGTGTACATGTAGCAAGGTTCTTGTCGAATGAACTTTGTTATTTGTACATTGATTTTTGACATGTTGTTTGACATTTGCATTGTTGTCAAATGTCAATTGGATGGGAAAATGGTTTCAAATTAAAATTGTCCAACAGGGTAATGTCACGCGAAAAAAGGGCAAACTAAAGTGTACACCATAGTATACATGTAGCAAGGTCCTTACCGATTGAAATTTGCTACTTGTATACTGATTTTTGACACGTTGTTTGACACTTGGATCGTTGTCAAGTGTCAATTGGATGGGAAAACTGCTTGAAATTTAAATCGTCTAATAGGGATATGTCACGTGGCAAAGTGTAAACTAAAGTATACACCATAGTGTACATAAAACAAGGTTCTTATCGATTGAACTTCTCTATTTGTACACTAATTTTTGACACGTTGTTTCACACTTACATTGTTGTCAAGTGTTAATTCGATTGGAAAACTGTTTGAAATTTAAACTATCCAATAGGGTAATGTCACGTGGTAAATTGTAAACCAAAGTTTCCACCATAGTACACATGAAGCAAGGTTCTTATCGATTGAACTTTGCTATTTGTACGTTGATCTTTGACACGTTGTTTAACACTTGCATTTCTTACCGATTGAACTTTGCTAGTTGTACACCGATTTTTGACACGTTGTTTGACACTTGTATTGTTGTCAAGTGCCAATTGGATGGGAAAACTGTTTGAAGTTTAAACTTTCCAACAGGGTAATATCAAGTGGCAAAGTATAAACTAAAGTGTATACCACAGTGTACATGTACCAAGGTTCTTATCGATTGAACACTGATTTTGACACGTTGCTTGACACTTACATTTTTGTCAAATGTCAATTAGATGGGAAAACTATTTGTAATTCAAACTGTCTAACAGGGTAATATCACATGACAAAGTGTAAACTAAAGTGTACACCATAGTGTACATGTAGCATGATCCTTACCGATTGAACTTTGCTGTTTGTATACTGATTTTTGACACATTGTTTAACACTTGTATTGTTGTCAAGTGTCGATTGGATGGGAAAACTTTTTAAAATTTAAACTATCCGACAAGGATATGTCACGTGGCAAAGTGTAAACTAAAGCATACAGCATAGTGTACGTGAAACAAGGTTCTTACCGATTGAACTTAGCTATTTGTACACTAATTTCTGACACGTTGTTTGACACATGCATTGTGGTCAAGTGTCAATTGGATGGGAAAATTGTTTGAAATTTAAAGTCTCCAACAGGGTAATGTCACGTGGCAAACTTTGAACTAAAGTGTACACCATAGTGTACATGTTGTAAGGTTCTTATAGGTTGAACTTTGCTATTTGTACACTGATTTTTGACACATTGTTTAACACTTGCATTGGTGTTAGGTGTTAATTGGATGCAAAAACTATTTGAAATTTAAACTGTCAAATAGGGTATGTCACGTGGAAAAGTGTAAACAAAAGTGTGCACGATACTGTACGTGTAGCAAGGTTCTTACCTGTTGAACTTTGCTATTTGTATACTGATTTTTGGAATGTTGTTTGAAACTTGCATTGTTGTCAAGTGTGAATTGGTTAGGACAATTGTTTGAAATTTAAACTGTCCAACTGGGTAATGTCATGTGGCAAAGTTTTAACTGAAGTATACACCATAGTGTACATGTCGCAAGGTTCTTACCGATTGAACTTTGCTATTTGTACACTAATTTTTGACACGTTGTTTGACACTTACATTGCTGTCAAATGTTAATTGGATGGGAAAACTAATTGAAATTTAAACTGACCAATAGGGTAATGTCACGTGGCAAAGTGTAAACTAAAGTGTACACCATAGTGTACATGTGGCAAGGTCCTTACTGATTGAACTTTGCTATTTGTATACTGATTTTTGACACATTGTTTAACACTTGCATTGTTGTCAAGTGTTGATTGGATGGGAAAACATTTTGATATATAAAATGTCTGATGGGGATATGTCACGTGGCAAAGTGTGGATTAAAGCGTACAGCATAGTGTACATGAAACAAAGTTCTTACCGATTGAACTTTACTATTTGTACACTGATATCTGACACGTTGTTTGACACATGCATTGTGGTCGAGTGTCCATTGGATGGGAAAACTACTTGAAATTTATACTCTCCAACGGGGTAATATCGTGTGGTAAACTGTAAACTAAAGTCTATACCATAGTCTACATGTTGCAAGGTTCCTACCGATTGAACTTTGCTATTTACACACTGATTATTGACATGTTGTTTAACACTTGCATTGTTGTTAGGTGTTAATTGGAAGCAAAAATAGTTTGAAATTTAAATTGTCAAACAGGGTAATGTCACGTGGCAAAGTGTAAACAAAAGTTTGTACAATAGTATACGTGT